GGTGACATTGAGCGGTTTCATAAAACAATGAATGAAAAATTGCGAATTATTTGTAGTTCTGGGATAAAGAGTTGAAATACCTTCAAATTGAACAAGCATTATTTACCTACAACCATATTATTTCTCATTCCACTACAGGTGAAAGTCCGTATAATATATTTTTTAATAGAAAACATCCTAAAACCAATCCCCAATTAATTAAAAGAAGATGGATAAATAACATAAATCAAAACCGACAAGAAAAAGAAATAGATACGAATTTTGTTACCGCCGAAACCTCTAGGAAAAGATTGGATAAGATTAGTGACCCTTATAATCTGATGGGGAACATCATGTAGTAAAGTTTAAAAACAGGAAAGTAAGAAAATACAAAAGCCAATTTAAAGAAAGAAAAAATATGTATAATGATTTATGTTTATATTAATAGTTTAAGTATTTTGTAAAAAAAAAAAAAACCAATGGGTTAAAGCATTTAGTAATATTATTCAGAATTATATGAATTTGTTTAATTTTTTTAATTCTACACATTTTGTAATAATAAAAACAAAAAACTGCAATGAGGACATTGGAATATTTTTAGATGGAGGAGTGACATTGCTACACTCACTCAAATAATAAATATCTCTAATACGCTCTCATACGATATGAGTAAAAACAATCACGGCAGAAGTTGTTATCGAGAGTTTAGTTGAGTTCTTAAGCAAACATTCAAATGATATAATGTAAATTAAGTATACAATTGTTAATAATATAAAATTAAATCGTATAGTTTAAAAATTTATATTACTTGTATATATGCATATTTAAATTCTATATAAAATAGAAGCAAACGTAACTAACTAACTATAGTAAAATTCTGTAAAATAATTCTTTTAATTAAATAAAATAACATTATTATATTTAAACTAAATATAAATTAAAAGCAAATTTAAATAAAAAAAGAACCTCAATTTAAAAAAGTATCTCTGCGATATAATTCGAAATTGAAACAATAATAACCATTTTAGAGGTTTGTACAGCTATAACCTAAAATATTTAAAATGACCGCTATTCACACCGTCGGTTACTCTCCGGTTCTTAATAAAATACCATGTCGCTGAGATTCACCTTCAGGGGGCCCTCCAGAGAACGGATATAATTAGAATATAATTAAAAGAAATTTTAACTTTTCAAGGTTCATTTACCCCTTACTGACTTTAGAACAATCAACAGCCACGATTCACCACCGTCAGGGCGACCTCCGGTTCTTATAATAAATGAAACCTTTCTGCGATTCACACCTTTGGGGGACCCACAGAGATCAGTATACCAAACATATCAAAAATATAAGAAAATTTATAATAAATTAAATTTAAAAAATATCTTGAAATGTATAACAAAAAAAATATATAATATATAAAAGCTTTATAAATAACTGAATAAAATACATTACAATATTAATATTAACAGTTTAATACTCAAAATGACTTACCCAAGCAACCTTATACGTCCACCAATAATAAATGTCCCACCTGTATCGCATTAGATAAGGACCACTTGTAAAAATTAAAATGAATTCAAAAATAATTTTTTCTAATAGTTTAAGTATTGTATCTTAAGCAATTAATCATGTATACCTATGTACATAGTTAAATAAAAATACTCCCACTTAAAACGACATCACTTAATTGCGCAGCGGCGAATAAACAGCACCTAGCATCAATCTAAAGAATGAAGCCAATCGTCAATGTTTATATAAAATATGACACTATGTCGCTCAGTGAAATTTTTATGATTAAAAGCTTGCGGTACGAAAGAGTCTAGAGCTTAGTCATAGTACTCCTTACGTTGAACTCTCCCAAATACACTTTCCACGCACTTGGCTGTCGAACGCGGACGTTCAAAACTTAGAAGGGAGAGTTTACAAATAAAAACTTTGTTACACAGTTACTGTGCAATGCTTAATAATGCTCAGGAATGCAGGTATAAAATTCGCCAAAATGCACCACGCCACCTTTACCGCTACCCACTACAAGAATGTCAAACTCAATTAAAGGGATTTAATGACGCTACTAGATAAGTTATTGATTATTATAGCTAAGAAATAAGTTTCACTCTTATTCGGCTGTTGATTGAATAAGAATATTGGAAAAAAAAATTAAGTTAAACAAAAAATAACTTACATAAGTGAAAATTAATAAATACGGACGTGTTTTGCTAATGTCCTAATTTATGGAACACATAACAAGGTTGAGGTGATTTTAGTCCTCAACTGCTCGAAAACACAAAGTGTACACGCAACTAACAGACCTGCCTTCGGCTGAGCTCAGGCTACCAAGGGCTACAGCTTGGCGAACTGTAGACGGCCTATGATCTTAGGTTAGCTGTTAATATCCAATAAGCAGCCCCTGACCAAGAGCGACAGGAGAGGAGGGTTCGGCTTAAAAGACCAGAAACATCCGACGAGTCTCCGGTGACGAGGCGAATAGATGCCGCCTCGGTATAAGCATCCACAGCCCCTAAGAGGCTGCCTCGAAGGAATACCTACCCATGAGAGGGAGGCGACAGAGCGACGCTGGACGCCACAGGCGAATAGATGCCGCCTCGGTATAAGCATCCACAGCCCCTAAGGGGCTGCCTCGAGGGAATACCTACCCATGAGAGGGAGGCGACAGAGCGACGCTGGACGCCACAGGCGAATAGATGCCGCCTCGGTATAAGCATTCACAGCCCATAAGGGGCTGCCTCGAGGGAATACCTACCCATGAGAGGGAGGCGACAGAGCGACGCTGGACGCCACATCAAAAAAAAAAAAAAAAATCCCCAATGAATGCACGTGCACAACTGCACGGAAAAACCACCCCGGGCTCGCGCCCATCAGGATCGAGACCAGTAAGAGCCTGATAAAGGCATACTGGAAAAAAACTGATAGGACAAAATTGTTTTCGGGCTGGTGAGAGTGATATTCTACCACATTAGCGTCCGGCTGGCTCTGAACACAATCGCCCATGAGGACTTGTGTCAACCCTCGCGTGACCTACCGTAAGTGTAAACAACCACGGGCCCTTTGTCAGGGCGACTGTACAACGTGCGGCGATAGCGGCTTGAAGCGGAGACCCAATTGAACATGAACACTCAAAACCAAAATCAAAACAATCAAAACAAGAAAACGACAACAGCGAAAAGAAATCAGATCAAGAGGAACAGAACAACAGGAACGACGAACACAACAATGCTTTTCGTAGAAGCAGCAGGGTTCTGCGATCGCCAGTGTCACAACTAACACCAGTGACCCAAAAGAGCGTGAATACCCGCCAAGAAAACTTGGTCCGACCGAGTCTACAACGACAATTTCAACTGCAATCCTGGAAGACCAATGACGGAACACAACACTCCAACATCGGCAAAAACAACCTTTACCCCACAAAAGTCCCGAGACAGGAGTTCGTGCACAAATGCGACTGGTAAAGAAGAGTCCTCGAAAAGTGCAGAGCCATCGTTCAAAAAATGAAGCAGGCAATGGCTAAACAGAAGAACGTCAGTCTCGACGTAAAAACGGAGAGAATGTGAAACCGAGGATAGAAGAAGCAATCACGACGGCAGGCGGCTTATCACCGAAACAATACGGTTTCAGACCGGGTAAATCAACACTGGGGCTATTAGGAATGTCGTGAGGAGCATAGAAGAAGCTCACAGAGGATGCAATAAACTCAAACGAGTTGTTCTACTCGCCACCCTTTGACGTTCGGAACGCCTTCAACAGCGCTCGATGGGAAAACATGATTGAAGAATTAGAAGAAAAATTTAAAATACCCGCATATCTCAGCATAATGGTGAGAAGCTATTTGGAAAACAGGGTTTGCTGTATAAAAGCTCTGAAGGACCACGACACTTGAAGGTCACGTCCGGAGCTGCGCAGGAATCAATCCTCGGCCCAGACCTTTGGAACGTCAGTTACGACATCATATTAAACCTCGATATGCCGACGATACTTATCTTGTTGGTTACGCAGATGACATCGCCGCGATAATCATTGCGAGAGACACCGAAGATGCGCGCAGGAAGTTAAACCAGGTGATGATCAGAGCACAAATGTGGCTTGATGCGAAAAGTCTCAAACTTGTCACTGAAAAAACCGAGCTGGTACTGCTAACAAAGAAGCATATTCCGACTATAGTAGACATGAGGACAGAAACACTAAGGACAGAAAAGGTGGTCAAACTAACTGGGGTAAGAATAGATTCCAGCTTACCTACTGGGCACAAATTCAACACGCTGCGAAAAAAGCATCCATAATAACTAGCCAACTGAGCAGGCTGATGTCTAATATCGGAGGACCGAGACAAGAAAAACGGAAGCTTTTGATGTCGACAACACTAAATGTCTTGCTCTACGGAGCAGAGTTATGGGCAGACACATTAAGAAAAAATATTCGACGCAAATCCCTCGAAAAAGTGTATCGTACAGCTGCTCTAAGAGTAGCATCGGCATTCCGTACAATCTCGGGCGAAGCTGTATATGTTATAAGCGGAAACACACCCATCGACTTATTAGCATTGAACGAAAGATGGATGTTGAAGAAACAAGGAACAGATGCTGCCGCTACAAAAGAGGAAATAAAGAGCGACACCTTGGAACAATGAAGAGCTCGCTGGAGCAAGGACGCCACGTAGATGGACGGCCAGGCTAATCCGAAACATAAAAGAATGGTCTAACAGGGAACATGGTGAGTGGATTTCTACAATACTCAAGTGCTATCCGGGCATGGATATTTCTGGAAGTATCTATTTAAAATGGGGAAAGTCGAAGAGCCGTCTGTATATACACGACGCGATAGAAGACGACGCTGAACATACATTTTCAAATGCACACGCTGGCAATAGGCTCTACACTTTGGTCGGCACCCTGAATGCGGATAACATCATAACTGTCATGCTCCAAAACGAGGAAAATTGGAGGAACGTGAAAATTATATAGAAAACGTACTACGGATTAAAAACGGGACCTGGACGCAGGTAATGACATGTAAGTCTTAAGACGAGAAATATGGAACGCCACCCTGAAGTAAACCGAAAGCGGTTCCAGGGTGGGCGACGGTTCCCTAGAGGAGAGTTTTTCAGTGACCTGCAAGTGGCACATACCATTGCTGTGACGACACAATGACGATGCGAAAGGCATTTTTCTCAACCTCCCACGAAAAAAAAAAAAAAAAACTAACAGACCTGCCCTGAAGCTAAGCGACAGCAAAATTATAGAAGTAAGTGCTATTTGTAATTTGAAACATTTTTTTATTTTGGGCGAAGGTCCGCAAGAAAGGGAATACAAAAAGAGCGCACTCGCATCTGCTTATATTGGCGTCTCCTTTTTGGCATTTCTTCTTCATACCCACACTTTGAGAGAAATTCCAGAAGCCATATCCTGAGGAATCTCTGCCCACCACTAACGCTAGGTGATTGCTATGCGTGGTTGCGAAAATATCAGACAAAGCGAAAGCAGCAAATACCATAACCTAAACCAACAAAAAAGCGAAATGAATGGAATTAGCCCATTCACACGGATCAATAAAACTTCTCGGTCACCTGACCGACGGGTAATAACACCCAACGATCAAGCGGTTGACCCTGCCGCGCATGATACAACCCCATCAGATAAAACAATCCGATCAACTGATAATTTGATCGTAGTTAATCTGCCGTCGATCCAAAGCGACACAAAAACTGACGCCATAATAAAAAATTAGCAAAGGAGGGAACGCGCTCTCTGCACTGGGAGTTCTCATTGATAAGCTAATCGATCTCATATATGGCCAAAAACAAAGGCACTTCAATCAGAATATGAGAAACATCATACATAGAATATCGCAGCTACAAAAACAGGCACTAGCTGAATTTAAAGAGACATCATCCAGCCGAAAAGAGGCCGCACTTTACACACGGATGAACCAGTAGCAAATGAACAGACACATCATCAAAACAAGGGAACTTGCATAAATTCGCCAAGAACCCGTGCAAACACAAATTTGATTGGTAAAGCCTGACACTTTTGAAAGCACTTTCAACCCCTTGGAAACATAGCGAACCAAAGGTGTAGGTAAAGACTCTAATGACCCTCAAACTCCAATAAAAGAGCCGTGGCATATTTTAGCTAAAAAAGCTAAATCACAAACCGCAAAACTCCCAAAAACAAAACCGCAGGCGATATTAATTTCCAAGACTGGAAATCTTACCTATGCTGAGAGAAAATTAAATCCGACTTTACCCTTAGCGAATTCAAAAAAAAGTCACCCGAATACGTTAAACGAAAGGCGATGAAATGCTGCTACAATTAAGCAGTTCAGCAATGTTAGCCCACTCGTTGGAAATAATGAAGAAATGTCTAGGTGACCACGCATACATTAAAGTACTGACCCAGGAGTAGTAGAGTGTAAAGACTTGGATGGAATTACAACCAAGAAAGAAGTACTGTATGCGCTACAGAGAGCACTGGCTAACAACGATCTGACCATCTTCTCTATTAAGAGCCTAAGAAAGCCCTACGGGAATACCTAAACAGCACTCATAAATCATCTGTCGAGGAGGCCAGGTTACTTCAATCCAAGAAATTGATGGTAATATGCCGTATCCGAAAATACAGGCAGCCACAACGGTGCTTCAGATATCTTGATTATGGTCACACAGCTAAAAGCTGCCAATACGAAGATAAATCAAAACTTTGTAGAAGATGTGAACACCAGGCTAGGAACAGAATCAATAACCCAAAATGTTTGCTTCGCTTGAACGCAGATTCTAGTGCAACTGATTACTTCACTGGGAGCGTTAGATGCGCGGTATACAAGAAAGCGGGCGACTTTAACGCCTGGGCTATTACAAAAGAACAAATAGTAAGGGCAAAACTTTACTAGAAGCTTTTGCTTCCCTTGATCTTGAGCTGTTAAACACCAATCAACCCATATTCAACAAAGGTGGACGGCAATCAGTGGTAGATTTGACTTTCGTCCAAGCAAACAGATCTCAATGGGAAATAAGTGATCATTATGCCATTGTACTTCAAATCAATGCCACACACAAGCGACGGAGTGAACCGACTCTTGTAAGTTGTTCCCTTCCAAAGGCGCTTCAAGCATAAAATGAAGCTATAGCTAAAGTCCATTAAGAAAAGCAAACGAGATTGCTTTTTAAAACTCTGCAACGATGTTGAAGACAATACCTGTTAGCTCGCATAAAGGTGGTAATGAACCAACTCCGGCCTCGTGGGCAAATGCGAACCTTCCCTCAACCTTGAAAAGAGTAGCATCGGTACACTTCCCAACGCGACCCCAACTTTATCAAGAGATTATAGACGTAGCCGACTGTTTCGAATAAAGAGGTTCGAGAAGCATTCAACCGGTTAAACCCATCCAAAGCTCCGGGCCCAGATGGAATCCCTAATATAGCGCTGAAAAACGAAGATTATATACACATACCCTTTCCGAATTATGTATGCCACATGCATTAAGGAAGGCTGCTTCCCTAAGCTATGGAAAAATCAGCTCTAATATTACTGCCAAAACCAAATAAGCCTTTGACAGACCCGTCCCATTTCCGGCCACTGTGCATGTTAGAATCCGCGGACAAAAGAGAATCAATTTAGATTCAGGGAGACAAGATTCACCATGGAAGCGGTGACCCTTATAGAGGCACTGACCGAAAAGGCTATTAGTGGAAAACGTTGGAAGGGCGGCACAATTCAATATTGTATGGTTGTAACCCTCGACGTTGAAAATCCTTTTAACTCAATATACTTTCATAGCATATTGAAGTTTCTCCGTGCCTCCATCTTGACAACATAAACGTAAGTTACTTTAAGAAAGAATCCAGAGCTAGTACACAAGCAACCGATATAAGGAATATAAATTCACCGGTGATGTACCACAAGGATCTATACTCAAACCGTTACTCTAGAACATATGAACGATGGAATACTGCGACTTAAAGTACCTAAAAATGTTCCCATCATTGGATTTGCAGATGACATTGCTGTTGTGGTGATAGCTAAGCACATAGAAGATATTGTTGCAGCAACCAGTGCAGACAACCAATCCTGAAATACTTAGAAATTGTTATTGATGCAAGACTTTTATTTAAGGAACACTTAGGTCAAACCAGTGAAAAAGCTTCAAAACTATGTCTAACTTTAACCCGAATAATGCTAAACACCCGTGGACCAAAGCAAAATAGGAGAAGACCTCTGGCCGGAGTTCTAAAATATGTTGTTCTATATAGTACTTAAGTTTAGAAAAAAGCACTAGAGATAAAATCTTACTGACGTGGCCTCTTTTCCACCTAGCCATTTGCGCACTCAGAGTATGCTCCGCCTTTCGTACGATGTCGGAAGAAGCTGCTCTTATAATCGCGGGCCATCCATTATACCTTTTGGTCAGAGATACTAAAAACCCTGTGACGGACTTATCACCCGGAACCTTAAGGGAAAATGCTCGATCAGAGACGTTGAAGAGCTGGCAAAGATGGTGGAAAGTCTGTCGAAATAGACGTTGAACGTTCCGGCTGATTCTCAACATTGACTCATGGCTAAAAACACTACACAGCGAGGGCGATTTTTACTTAACCCAAATTATAATTTACTTAAAATCGCAACCTATAATTGGTGAGAGAGCAACACAATTTTATTCTATTCAATATTTTTGATTTTAATTTCTAAGCACGTGACGGCCGGGACGCTTACCTCGGAATCTTGACTGTCCCGACCAAACCGGGACGAATGGTCAGCTAAGTATAGACCCAACCCCAAAAAAATCGTACACCAAATGGTTGAATCAAAAGAGAAGTGCGAAATAGCCGCCAAAATCATAAAAGCTCAAAGAGCCCGACAACAGCACCTGAGAAGACAACTCCGAAACTAAACGAATAAATAGAACACGGACCAAACAAACTCATATCAAAATTACTAAAGAATATGGGTGGGTTTGGCGACAAACATTACAGAGGCGGGACCAGAGACCAACAGAGGTGGGGCCATGTAAATGCAACTTGTAACTGAATGCATTGAGACTACTACAAACGTATGAGCATCGCTCAAACATCCTCCTGAGGTAATACTTGAAGGTGGTACTGGGGGGTTTTGTACATGACGGTAGGATGTTTAGTTCGGCTGAGGCATGAGGTTCAGGCTTCAATGCTACCTCCTCGTGAAAAAAACCGAATATTATCTATGCAATACAATATACCCCCATACGCATGCATGACAATACAATATAGGTATACACAAGTTTGTCAAGCCAAATCTTAAGCCTTGTTATTGTAAAAAATACAGGCCAGAAAAGACCAATACCTGTTAGTTGGAAAGTATTTCGGTAATTAAAGAATTATTAAAAAAAAAGAGTATAAAATAAATAAAACTCTGAAATGTCGTACAACGACTTTGACGTGATACGGAACGAAAACCATAGCAATGATACAAGGCGAACTAATATATCACAGGGTAGGTTCCAAGGAGATAGACGATCAGTCGCATGAGATTCGCGATATCACGCGAAGAGAAGTAACTATATATAGACGTAACTATTATATATACGTGATGTAAGATAATGTCGATGAAGTAAGTGAAATTTGCGTTAATCAATTCAACGAACAACTTTTGGAAAATATTTTGGAAATCGAAGAAGATCCCAAATTGGGCGAGATAGTTTAGGAGGTAAGCACAGAAAGGAATAAATCGTTGTGGAAGACAAAGAAGATACAATTCATTTAATGGAAAATGATGTGACATTCCTATTATCTAAGAATAAAATCACGTCTGATGAAAGTGATGCAATATTAATTGAAAGCAATGGATTGAAGGAGGGCGAACTACGCTTAGAAGACAAATGCATTCAACGATGATGATAATAGTGTGAATATCGAAATGTTGTTTTCTCTGGTAATCGAGTAGGACGGTGAGTTGAAACAAAAGAATGTTTAAACAGTACAGTTAATGAAAATATAATTTATTTCCTAGAAAAATATGTGGAAGAAGTCCTTACAGAATATAAAACCCTCAAGCGAAATAGACGTTGAAGATGATGTAACAATGGAAGAGCACGACCCAACCCTGATAAGTCCAACTAAATGCGACCACAAACCACGCAGGCCGACAGAAGTAGAAGAAAAAAATAATTTTGAAGCTGAAGGAATCGAAGTTCAAAGCGGGTTTTGCACAAGGCAAGACAAATGCTGAAACTGCAGCCAGTCAAGAACGATGTCACTTAGTTGACGAACACGACACACATACATTACATTACATAACGGTTCACGATGACTTGCAAAACCTTGTTCATATTAGTCGGGAGTGTTTTTTGTCGGTTTTTATTTTTTCTCATCGAACATTGGTGTATTCTTGATTTTACGTTTTTTTATTTGTAGCTTAGCATACGCCTCTTTCCTGCCTCTGTCCTTAATTAAATTCGGCTTATACTCCTAACTATTATAAGAATACACACATTCCACTCATTTTAAATAATTACTTTTGGCCTCGACAATATGTTCAAATATCCTTAAACATGATTACCTTCGCTAATGCCGAGACAATACAAAACATATATATTGGTAAAATGAGCCAAGCGTCAGTAAACAAACACACCACTCTACCCCTTAAAAACTGGCGCACCCTCATATGACGCACTACAATACACAACACTCATAGATCACCACACAGGACAGCACAACACCGCACCTGTACACCACCAGCTAACAGAAGGGATGTTCCTCTATCAGATTCCCCACACTTCGATACGACAGCAATCCTGCGAGCTACATTTCGACAACAGTGATCCTTCGCGTTATTCACTCGGTCGGAATTATCCGCCCATCGTTTCGTACTGGAACCCGTAAACAGTTTTTTGCGCGGTTCCACCCACCATATTTAAACTTATATTAATTCAAATTTATTGTTGTTATTTTGCGGATAAAACGGAAGTAATTTTATGCAGAGGCGCGGACTTTTATTTTTTAATAAAGCAAGTGTTAACTAGAAAACGGAAAACCTACTAAATTGGGTATACCATACATTTTCCATGGTCCTATACATATACACAATAGATTTACACGCACAAAATATATAGATAAATACGTATATTATATTTTGAAAAAAGGATACTCAGATACGTGTTTAAATATATACAGGGGGGCTTTTTTATTGTAATGAAAATTCTATTTTATTATATATAATTAGTTATTTATAAAAATTATGGACCGTAAATTACCTGCGAACTCAGAAATCTTTTAAAAAATTATTCATTGCGACCTGAAGGTTTGAAGTCGGGATTGCCTCAACTATTGATTTAATGGACTGTTTTAATTTTGTCAAACTTCTGGGTTTTGTTTTGTACACCTCTTGCTTGACATAACCCCATAAATGTCTGGTACAGTCGGGTCAGGTGACCGATTGGGCAAGCGCGAAGTGGAGTGTCTTGGTATTAATTTGTTTTCTATTTTTCGTTCTAGCTTCGCAATATCCGGTCTTGCTTTGTGAGCAGGTGCTCCATCTTGCTGGCACCAAACGCTATTGAAAGGAATACTTGTACATCTTCAGCGCAGTTCTGGGTAAAAAAACTCATTCAAATTTTAAATAACGGTGCACATTGACAGTTACTGTTACACCAATTTCTTCAAAGAAATATGGCCCGACAATACACCTTAATGAAACTGCGCACCACACGGTGACTCGTTCTGGGTGAAGTTCCGTCTCGTGGATTACTTCTGCATTTGATTTACTCCAAAATCGGCAATTTTGCTTGTTTATAATTCCGTTTAGATAAAAATGAGCCTCATCAGTCATAAACAAGTAATTTATGAAGTTATTGTGTTCTTCGGCCATTTCAATCATTTTTTCGCAAAATCCTTGGAACATAGCAAATCTAGAGGATTTATCCGGCTTGTTATTTGAATTTTGTGCGGAAACAGGTTTAGGTCATCGTGAATTATCCGTTGTAATGACCTAGCTCCAAGTTGCGCCGCTAAGTTGCGAGTCGAAACTCTTGAATTTGAATGAATTGACGATGCAACAGCCTCTATTGTTTCTTGAACACGAACATACGGACCTCGATGGTAGGGGTTTCTTGCGATACTTCCAGATTCGGCAAACATGTAAACCAACCTTATAAGGGTCCATCTACTCGAGGAAGTGCGGTTCAAATCCCGTCTGAATTCAGAAAATCAAAATCAAAGTGAGCGTAATTGTTCGGAGCAGCTCCTCTCACAATGGAACTGCCTCTAATTTGTTGCATCCTTCTTAAATTATAACTTATACTTAATTTATACTTATTTATACATACACATATATCTCCATCGGTGTCAATATTTAATATCAATTGTTATCAGGTTATTATAATTTGTATACCTGTCATTCCATTACTCGTTGTTCTAATTCCTCATTTCCTTTTATCCTTCAATATGTTTATACATACATACATGTGAGAACAATGTTATTGTAAGTCAGATTGCTTCTTACCTACGCTACCTGCAGACGCAGATAAGCCCCACCAGCCACGTCACTTTCCACTCGTTTAATAAATTATATTTAAATATATTAAATTGTGTTTAATATCGAGATTCATTGCTGCCAAAAAAGGTTGGTTGCTCAACATTTGGTGACCCCAACGTGATCGCTGTGTGTGCTTTCTCGTGAAAAAAGTAAAATTGACATTAAATATCAGACTAATTAGTTCGTTGCTGCAGTGTTAGTGGACATATTTTACATACAGTGATCGGTCGATACATCAAAGTTGCGTTTTGAATTCAATGTGATTTGGGGCGAAAATGTGGTTGATTTCCTAGAAAGCGCTTCTACGCTAAATTTGAAAACTTAAGCACCGTAAATCGGGGGCTTTGTAACATGATCTTCTGGAAGCAGTTATTACGGTAAACAGAAATATTTAACCACCGTATATCGGGTGCCGCTATTTTCTTAAACGGCTTAATACAGTTATCAACCACACGTTACCCCGCTGATCACCTAACCTCGTTTTACAATTTAATTACTGTTTTGAGATGTCGTTAAATAATATCAGCGGTACTCCAGCTGGAGAAATTCCTGTACATGAAGGGCTCTCATCATATGTCAGCATTCACCTATGGGTAGGGTGATATTTTTGAAGAGTTGAAGACAGAGTCTATGTATAAGCGCTTTGAATGCATGGGTACAGATATAGACTCGGAGCGATTGCAAAGCATATATGAATATGCTTTGGCGGCGGTAATTGATTCATTAAACGAGCTAAAATAGAACTTCCTTGTTGAAAATACTAGTTTGGAAGAGCCGGATTTTGATTCTATTGGAAGTGATTTACTTATTCAATTCAATACAAACTTAGTTAATTTGAAGGCTACTCTACAGCGCGAATTCGGAAAAAGTAGCGCTTCTCAACATTGCTCCACATTTAAGATGACGAACAACGAATCCCAATTATTATAGTAAATCGATAGTCGTGTAATTTTTAACTCAAAAATTGGACAAAGTAACTCAAACAAAATGGGCAGAAAGTTGTTAATTAAACGAGTTACCATCGTGGGAATCAATGGCTACATTTTTAGAACGTCGATATCGTACTGACGTGGAGCATGCAATGCAAACACAAGCTAATACTTTTGATAAAACTGGAAAAGCATTGAGTATTCATCAAATAAGATCCTTTGGTGCTTCAAATAACTTACTGGGTGTGTTAACACCCCCACTTACTTGCCATATATGTTTTTTCCTTTTTTTAAAAACGTTCAACAAACTTATTTATTTTAAATAATTAGCATAAAGATTATCTCAACGCACTCTCTGGTCTCATACCAGTGGAGAGGTAATAAAATTGTAAGTAACAAGTAAAAAATGGTTGATAAAAGAAATGAGGTGACACGTGCGCCAAAAGAAAGTTCGGTGTTTGTTGCTCGAAAGTCGCTGAGAGAAGGGGCTGTCCGCTTCGAGGACAGATGTTTTGTATGTTGAGATTTATAGAGATCCTACTGTGTGTGTGTATATGCGGCTGCTTCCAGTAGTGTAATGCATTTGTATGTGTTGTGTGGCGTGTGGGTGTTCTGCTGTTTCCAGGTGTGGGGTGTGTGCCAGTGTTGTCTTGTGAGTGGTGTGTTGTGCGGTGTAGTTGAGTTTTCGGGGCGAGAAGCTTAACTCATTTAGCCATCCCGGCTCGCCTAGGCGAATGTTCAGCCCAGCAGTAGCTGTAGCTGTAGCAACGTTGCCGAGTCCAGACGTGCGACGATAGTGCGGCCTACGCCTAGTCGGTGCTGTGTTTTGTTGACGTCATGGACGGGACTCAGGACTGGGTGACGTTCTTCGGCGACGTGCCACACGGTTGGTTTTCATATTATTGCGGTTGTTTATTTCTGTTTTCGGTTATTAGACGGATATTTCGATTTTTGCTTGTAGGTATTATTGAACGGATGGTTTACTACTTGCGTTTTCGCTATTATTTGAGATTGGCAGGAAGCATAGTTTAACGAGCGGTCTGGTCAGCTTTCCGTTTCGAGTACGGAGGACAACTACTTGTATATGACCGTCAGAACCATGATGTAGTTTGCTTTGGCGCCTTTTCGGGAGTTTTCCAGCGGTAACTTTTATGAAGGTCTTTTATATACTCCTCCTTCCATCGGCGGCTGAAATCATGATGGAGAATTTTAATTCTTTCCGATCTATTTTGTAAGGATAGCGACTCCACGCCTGGCTCAGGTATGCCCAGAATGGGTGCTCTTTTTAGAAAGTGCCCTGGAGTTAGGGCTGTGAGATCTGAGGGATCTTGCGAGAGTGTCGTTAGTGACCGTGAATTGAGAACGGCTTTAATTCGAATTAATAATGTTGTAAATTCTTCATAAATTTCTAGCTTCCAGCTACTTTTTTAAAGTGGGCTTTGAAGCTTTTTACAACTGATTCCCACAAACCATCCATATGAGGCGCGCTTGGAGGGATAAACTGCCAGTTATTACCTTGAGGAGCGTACTTTTGTAAAATCTCAGGTGAGACTTGTTTCACAAAAGTCATGAACTGTTTGCTGTGGCTCTTTGAGCTCCTATAAATGTTTTTGCCGTTGTCGCTCATGAGTTTTGACGGAAAACCACATCGTCCGCCGAAGCGAGAAAAGCCTCTTTCGTACATAGCTCGAGGTCGTAAAACAGACAAAGACAACCACATAGCCTTTCATGAGGGTGGGAGACCTTAACATGGATGCCTTTATCTGAAACCTGCAAAGTCGACACCTGTAATAGTGAAAGGCAGAGCGAAGTTACAGACCTTGCACATGAAAATGCATTTCTTTATTTTGGGCTAGAGTCTTGGAATATAAAACTCTTGACGGACTATTTGTTGCATGAGGCGATGTTCTGTGTGTAGCAATAGCATGTGGAAATAGTTAAGGTATAAAGTCTTGGAATATAAAACTCTTGACGGACTATTTATTGCATGAGGCGATGATCTGTGTGTAGCAATAGCACGTGGAAATAGTTAAGGTATAAAGTGGCAAGTTGCGATTTCCCTGGGATAACTATTGGACGACGTTCGTTATACGTCAGACTTGAATTGGCAAGCCGGCCATTCGCAGGAAGTAGACCTTTCGTGTCTATGATTGGACACTAAGAGTGAGCTCCTTTTATCAATTGGCTTCGATTTTCTTAGTAATGATATTTCTCGGCTTGCGTAGATGCGATAAGAGCGACCTTTGATCTTTGTAAGTCTAGGTGCGTCACTGTATCGCATTGGGAATACAATGAGGTTACTCCCTTAAGTTTAATTTTGAGGTGCTCTATGAACTTGAGCATGTAAGCGATTACCCTGAGTGCTCGGGGGTACGAGGAACATCGTTCGACGATGTCAATATCCTGCAATGTTGTGTGAAAGGAGTCTTTCTGGGGCAATTATATTGCGCATGGGCGATTGTGGCCAAGAATCAGCCGCTTCTGTTAACTATCGGGGGCCATTCCACCAGAGGGTGGTGGTGACAAGGTGCAGGAGTTTACATCCTCTTGTACCTAGATCAGCA